CTAGAGAAAGATAAATCTGAAAAATACGTTCGAAGAAAACAGGCTGAAATGTTTTTCAACACATGCCAGTGGATTCACAAAAGCCAAGGACTGATTTATGAGACAGAACCTGTGGCACATGCACGGAGTTGTTAAACTGTAAGGAAATCAAAAATGAAGAATGAGAATTCAGTAGAAATTGTTGTTTTTTTATGCCTTTAGCATTTTCTCCATTTATAAAGTTTAATTTTTACATTATATTCAATTATTTTTATTAATTTTTTTTTTAACCTGTCATTAGAATCGGAATTATATTTTAGATTGTGTTGTAGATTAAAATTCCGTAAGTAAAAGGAGAGAAATCAGAGAACAATCATTCTTTTATACAACACACTATTATTATTTTAACTAATGAAACTGAGAATACGGATAAAAATACGCCTGCTATTTGGAGTTCCAAATACAAAATATGACTAATAACACTAGGATAATTTATTTTATTTTATTTTATTTTTTTGCTGCATAAGAATTTTTTAACAGATCTTACATAATTTGGTATCACTGATTTCAAATCTGAAATCGGTTTTATTCTCAAAGTTACATTTTTAATGACATTTTTAACATATTTTATAAAATCATGCACGTTTAAAAATGTTATATATAATAGGAGGTAGCTTTAATGTTGCGACAAATTTCTAGGGGAGTTAGGGCACATCATCAGGATTAAAATCGAATATTAATAGAAATGTAGGCCTGTAAATGACATCATACGGCATTAGACGCGTTTCCCTGCTATAAACTGATTTTTTAGGGTGCTTCTGAACAGGTCATAATAGGGAAGTGTGGGTTTCCATGCAATTTTTATTCCTGATGATGTGCCGTAACTCCGCTGGAAGTCTGCCGCAATATTTATGCTACCCCCTGTTATACACACACCGAAGAGCCATTACATTATGACCAGCCTCCATCCATAACAATGGGCTCTCCCAGGTTTTCATGGTTTCTCGGCCAGGAACAATGTTTTCATGGGGCACATTAGGACCCACAATCCTCATAGAACAATCCCTGACGTCTGTAAGCTACTTAAACATAGTTGCAGACCAGGTTCACCCATTCATGGCAACAGTTTTTTCTGCGGGGATGGTGTTTACCAACAGGATAATGCACCATGTCATAAGGGTCGAATCGTCGAGGAACATTCCAGTGACTTTCAAGTCAAGTCTTAGCCCCCAAATTCACCTGACCTTAATCCAATAGAGCATTTGTGATCTTACTTGGAAAACCAAATTCGTGCTGCCACGCTATCCCTTCGCAATGTGAGGGAATTGCTGGACCAGTTGGTGAGCGCTTGGTACCAGATAACTCAGACTACCTATCAGCACCTTGTGGAATCAATGCCACGGCGGGTGCTAGCAGTTTTGAGGGTTAAAGGTGGTCCTACATGTTATTATCAGGGTGGTTATAATGTAATAACGTTCTTAAACTTGTGCATATCGACAAAAAAAGAAAAAAAATAGACTAAAAATGTAGTAAAGAAATTGTAGCTTTGGGAGCAAAACTAATTTCAGATTTGAAGTCCCCACAACCAAATTAAACGATAAATTAAATTGAAAAATTTGTTCCCCAGTGTAATCTTCTTCAGAAACTGATTTAAAAAAATCCTTTAATTCTTTAAGACCCAGAGTTCAATGTATTGGAAAACATGTATTTCAGTTTTATCACTTAAAATAATATTTTAAATTGTTTTTTCTGTTTGTATACCTTTACAAAGCGATTGTCTATCTGAAAAGGAAATTTTATTTACTATAGTTAGTCCCAATTTTACAGTTACAGTCAAGTAATCTTTTGGACATGGCATATGAATATCTTAATATTTATTTGAGTCTAGTGAATTTTGTTCCATGACCAAAATAAGAAGAAAAACAATGCAAAAATTTAATACAATATACAAAATATGCTAAAAATTCAAATTCGTTATTTTTTTTTTTTAGAAAATAATAAACAATGACCAAGAAGGATAATTAAGGTTAATAAATTGATTTTTTTTTTAATATATTTTATCGCATCTATGAGTTTACTTTCTTCTAAGCTATATATTTTTAAATAAAATAAATCGCATATTCTGGAATTATTTAAAGTTCGGTCTCAGAAGAAATTATTGATATTATTTCCATTTACTGTAAAATCTGAATTAGTTTGTAAAAAATGTTAGCTTTAACAGTAAACAATATAAATATTATATCAAATTAATATAATTTTTAATAAATGTATTTATAATAATATATCACGTTACATTTGTAAAGTTGAAGTACATTTTTCGCATAAATTAGACACATAAAATGTTTTTTAACATGCTTCAATAAGGCTCGTCAATCTAATTCGAGATGCTTAATGGAGTTGGAAATACAGATTTGCTAATGAATCCTTTTTTTTTTTTTCGGTTCAGCATTGAAGTTGCAAATTTTCAGAGACCTAATAAATCGTAAAAGTGAACCATGTTTCGGTTCTCCAAATTCTCTCACGGGTTTTATATAGATTTATAAATGAACTCGTAAAAAAGGGATTATTTACTATGCATAACCAGAAAAAGCAAATGATCATTTTTTGGAAATCTTTACGAGAATAGGAATTAGGTAAACAATATGTAAGAAAAAAAGATTAGAAAAATTATTTTAAAAACATAATACTCGTATAAAGGCTATTATTTACTATACATAAGCAGAAATAGCAAATAATTATTTAGATTTGGGAGTCATAAAGTTATATAAATTGTATTCAGGTAAACAATATTTAAGAAATGAAATTCAAAAAATTAATTTAAAAAGCACAAAGCAAAATTTCAAAATCTAAACAATTTTTTTAAGACCGTTTTTTCTAATAAAGTTCATTGAAAGCGGAAACTTTTTACGTGAATATTAAGATTAAAATATTTAATAGCATATAAATACGATTAAAATTCAAATGAGGTAAATTTGAGCAAAGTATTAGATTAAAAAATAAAAACTAAACTTGCAAAATCTTTTCGATTATTTTTCAATTAATTATCACAAATTACGCTGCTGAGCCCAGCTATGGCTGGTCGATACGAATTCCGCACCCGGCTAGTACCGACCACAGGGTTGATTTAAAATATCATTGAGAAGCGAACTCTCTATCCCCGATTGATGTAATAGTGCAGGCTGCATTTTACAATAATATTTACCATCAGTTTCCGAGTTAATAATCGATAATAGAAAACACTGAGCAGCGATGGTTCAGAGGATAGAGCGTTCGCCTTCCAATGAGGTGAACCGGGTTCGAATCCCAACAATGTCTGGTCGATACGAATCCGCATCCGGCTTGCATCGACCATAGTACTGACGTGAAATATCCTGAGTGGTAGACGGACCACGGGTTAGAGTACCCTTGCGTCAGACTAAACGTGAGAGGTTTTCGTGGTTTTCTTCTTCGAAACGCAAATGCGAGTTAGTTCCAACAAAAAGCCCGCCACGAAGACAAATGTTTCCCAATACTTGATCCAGGAGTTCCCTAGTCATCTGAATTGGGTTCAAAATTACAAGGCTAAGGAGTTGAACACTCGTAACAGTAAGCAAAAAAATTGGGTTGGCTGTTCAACGACGGTAATAAAAAAATGATTTTGCTGTATAAAATAACATGCAGCCGAGTAGGAAGTATTATTTTCGCAAAGAAGCTTTATATACAGCGAAAGTAAAAATCTAGTAAAATATAATTCTCATTTATCAAAAGCACATGTTGTATTAATTTTAAAAATTAGAATAATTTAAAAATTTAAATAACAAAAATATTTCTTTTTAGTATGCTTCAATTTCTTTTTTTTTTTTTCTTCTTTAATTTAATTCGAATTGTAACTTTTATATGATGCAGTGGAGTGGGTAGCATTATTAGAATTTGACATTTTAGTATTATTAATATCAGAAATATTTTCTAATCTTGTAATAACAAGCCTATATCACCAAGAAAACTGAAACAATTTCCTTGAATATAAAATTGAAAATATTTGTTGGATCATGTGTTAAAATAGAGTTAAGCATAAAGTTTTAATCTAAATATTATTAAAACACCTACCGTAAAGAAAACTATAAACAGAAAACTAAAAAACTTTTGGGGTATGTGAGAACAAAATATAAACAAACTTTATTGATATATTTATATTATAATACTATGGTAAATTTATTTTTAAAAAAAAGCAATGGTAGTATGACATAAATTTTTAAACAAATATAATTAATAATAAGAAATTAAATATTATTAATAAACAAATATTTTTAATAAAAATTTCTTAAATATAAATTTGAAAGTTTTTATTGGAAAATGCTTAAACAAAAATAAACAAACATTAATCGCTATATTCATGAAATAGTAAACTGATAAATAAGCAAAAGCATTATTTTTATTTGGGAACCTGTACAGTTGAAATTTAAATAAGCTTAAACCCAATTACTATCAACAAAAGTTAAAATCATACTGAAGGGATTAGTAAAATCCCTTAAAAATATCCAAAAACAATTTTTTTCAGCTAGTTTCCAAATGATAATAATAATATTAATAAATGTAAATATTGTTATTTCAGTAAATCGATGTATCGAGTATCATTCTGCATCGATTGGTAAGTCTCAAATTATTTGAATTTAAATATTAGTATTATCAACAACTCATGTCATGAACTAGAAATGCTCCTTAAAAATAATCATTCTAAAAAATTGGCGCCCACCAAATCTAAAAATAAAAACCAAGATCGAAAAGATACCCAAATTCATCTCAATTTCTTACCTCGAGTGTTGATAAGGTAGTATCATCTTTCGTAAACTATAACCGAGCTCCCAAAAGAGCCGTAATCATTTGGGCTGCAGATAAGATTAAGTGCAAAAGCTAAAGAAAAACAAACAGGGTGAAAAAAAATTCCTGCTGAATCCCCCTAATGGAAATTTAAAGATAACCAAAAATACCCCGCGGCGAGCAACAGTTTAGCAACATAGGCAATGAATTACAATTTGACCTACCTGACTTTTTCTAGTTGGGATCAAGCTCTTCTCCAGGTAGGACGTCATTCTGAGCTACTGTGGATCTCCACAAAAAGTCAACCTGGCTTTGTGGGATTGAATAGATCTGACGTTTGATGTGTGTTCAACTGACTTCATTATGCAGGATAAGAGGCGGGGCGTAATGATTGGTGGGAGGGATTAAGTGTCAACGAGTAGGTGTCAATTATCCCTCCCCATTTTTGGAAGTTTGATATGTTTCGTCCTTTTTGTGAAGGTAATTTATCAATCGCTGATTGCAATGGAAAATTAATGCTGTGTTTCTTTCTTTAATTTGCTTTTCAAAAATCTCATTCATTTAATGAAAAATATACACAAATCCTGCTTTATTTTCGATTAAAATTATCTTTTTATTTAAATTTTTATTTGGATTTGTTTTAAAGTGAGAAAAATTAGATAGCACTGGAATAATTTTATCGGGATAACGATTCATTATTATAAAAAATGATGTACAGGTTTGATTAGAATTCCCTTTAATGTGAAGAATAATAATAAAAATTATCATTTTTACTTGAAAAATTCTATCTGGAATTGATTTTTCCACTGTTTGTTAATCCACTTTTGTTGATTTTGCTTAGTTTAAGATAAAAGATATTTTCATAATTAGAAACTATTTCAAATAAATACGAGCGTATTATGTTCATAATATAATAATGAAAAATAAAAATAATAAATAAAATAAAGTAAAATTTCCTTATATACATTTTTTATTTCTTGTATTTAGTTTAAATTTTTATAAATTACAGGAGAGAAGAAATTTTGTCACGCCTTAAATTAAAACAGAAATAATCTATAAATTTCTCTTGTGTGGCAACATAAATTCAGGTACTTCTTTATGTATTGGCTAAAGTATAGTTATTATTCATTTTTTTAGGTTGTCTTTAGTAATAATTTAAGTAGAGTTTAAAAATTATTTATATGTTAAGTATTTATTTTGTTAGTTTGTCTTAAGTTATAATTTAAGTAGTGTTGAATAGTTAGCTACACATTAAGTATTAATTTATAATAAATTCGTATATTTATAGAAAGGAAAACTCAGTTACTAAGTAATTATTTAGATTCATTGTTGATTCTTTCTAAAATGGATCCTTTCTAAATGATAGTCTTAAACATAAACGGTGCTGCAGTTCAGCATACTGTCATACTAATTTTCGGTGACGTCATACTAATACTGTCATACCAATTTCTTATCTCACGACAGACATAGAAATAATTTTAAAACTTCTGCTACTTACTATGCTGAAACGTTCTGAATTCATACTCACGATCGTTTGTGTGATTTAATGGCTCCCGGACAGATTTAAAATTATTACTAAAAGGTGCTTATTTTCGATTTTCGTTTTTTAAAAGCTTGCTTTTTTTCATTGGGTGTTTTTGAAAAGTGCTTAATTTTCGTTTTTTCAAAATGAGATTTTACCTTTACTATGTTGATTTTTGCTTCGAATTATGCAAAAAGACACAGTTCACATTGCTCGATTCAGCGTTTTCATACCCCAATCTATTTCGGCGTATAGTCAGTAAGTAGCGTATGAAAACGCCATTCGTTTTACATGATTCAAAATTTCATGATTTTTAACAATTGTCAAAAACAATGCCAAAAGTTTTTTCTTTTTTTTGACATGACGGTTAAAACAAGATAAAACAGTCTATTGGCAAAAACTTTCCAACCTTGCCTAGGTATGATATTTTTTAATGTGCTTAAAAACATTTTTTTGAGTGCTTGAAAAGTGCTTAAAAGGTGCTTATTAAGTCCCGAAAATTCTCTTTATAGAGTATCTATATTAAAGCTGTTCAGTATTGATGCTGTTCCAATAGGTACAAAAAATATTTATTTTTAAATACATTAGTATATTTGGTATTGATTAAAATTGATAATTACCATAATAACAAAATAGTATGGCATTTTTTTTACATTTCTCCTAAATGAATTAGTACCATTTTTCTGTTAATTTTGCTTTTTAGTAAATAGTTTTTATTTCGGCTAGTAGCTATTATCAAAATTATATATGCATCATAGGCGTTAAAAGCAGTATGGCAAGTTTCTTTTCCCTTCTAAACGAATTAATAAGATTTGTCCATTAATTGAGCTATTTAAGATTTTTTTTTATCACAGTTAGTATCTATTACCAAAATTAATTAAGTATCATAAGCATCAATAATAGTAAGCAATATACTACGCTTCTCTTAAATGAATTAGTATCATTTCTCCATTAATTTTGCTTTTCAGTACATAACTTTTTTTTAAAATTTTAAATACCGTTGATTTTAGATTATTTAGTTTTGTAGAAATACGTTTTAAAAGCATAATTATAAAAACAAATCACGTGGTTTCTGATTACTTAAGGAATACTAATTTGGCGACGTAGTCCAACTATCACACTCACTTCGATCAATGAGTTTATCTGATATAATGGATAAAAAATGATTAAATATCTAAGAGCGTCCAATAAAATTATTTTTCAATTAATAAGAGTTATAAGCAAGCAAACATCACCGACGCAATCCGTAAAATCGTCTGTGGTTTCATTTACATCAATGGCGCTAGCTCTGAACCAATGAAAAAATTCCACTTTTTAAATATCTCTCTTGAACGAACTAATTGAAATTTTTGAGCGATTTTTAGGACTGGGGCAAAAATTAGCCCTTAGCCCACTATCAAAATTTCGGGAAGCTTGCTAAAGTTATAAAAGGAACACACACACAAACTCTTCATTTTATTATTAGAGAAAAAGTTTTTAAATGCCAAGTTTCTAAACTTCAGATTTGATTTCAAATAGGAATACTAATTAAATGTAATAATGCAGATAAGTTTAATAAAGTATTGAACACCATAGTAGTAGTAGTACCTTATTTACGTTGCACTGGAACTGCACAGTAAGCTATTGGCGACGGTCTGGGAAACTGATTATGATCCGTAGACACGCTATCAGAATTTCGATCCTCTGCAGAGGGGATGGCTCCCCCCGCTTTGTCATCTCAGCGACTTGCACGAGAAGTCGAGCACTTTACGGTAGAGCAGTTTAACGGAAAACGATGCCGCACACCCTCGATTCCTTCGTAGGTTGATCGAATTGGTCACTTCTCTCACTGACCGAAGGACAGGGATGCTTTACTTCAGTGACTTGATTGGGAATCGGGTCTTACTACCAGTCTTATGCGGGACTGAATAAAATTATTTTGTCATATATATAGTAAAGGATTTTTTAAAAATCAATGATTTAAATTTCCGAGTTTTTTCAAATGTTTAAAAAAAAAAAAAAGCATTTATAAAGGAAAGTTTTTTTTATTTTTTTTGCATTATTTCAAATGATAAAAGAAGTGATAAAAGAGTGAGATATAGAATGCGGACGATTTATAAATGCAAGCAATTTAATAAAGGACAAGTTTTTAAATTTCCGATTTCATTTTAACTGTAAAAAGTGTGAAAAAGGATACCGTTTACAAAAACATAAGAGATTTTATTAAAGGACAAGTTTTTCGAATTTCTGATTCCATTTTAACTCTAAACTTAAAAATTATGATAAATAAAAACCGTTTTCTGGAAATAAGTTTAATAAGTTGTAAACATATGTTTGTAAATTACGCAAAACATGATACGAAGTACAGGTGTATTTTATGTAGAAAATGCGAATTAAATGCAGTACGCATTCACAACAGTCTTAGAAAGTTTAATTTCGTGAAATATTACATTTTCTAAATGCGGCACTGTTCCTTGCATTTCATTGCGGTACTATTCCTGGTGGTAGTTTGAAGTTTGTTGCCTCAGATTGATGCATTTTTGCTTGTCTTGGAAGTTATGATGGTAGGTGCGCAATTATACCATAATGCCATTAGTCTCAAAATTATTGAGCCTTATTATCTCTTTGACTTATTGGTCAAAAACTGACTTTATACTTTGCAAATCACGTAAAATATGATACGAAAATAGCAAAATTATTCTAATAATTATTGTTTTTTAAATTTAACGTCATTTATCATTTTTAAACTTTAACTAACGTCATTTTTCTTATAAAAACTTTTCTATCTTATGACCCTTTTAGCATTTGATAAGATTCTTTATTTGCCTGAAGTAGTTTTCCTGCTATCTAACTTTGTTAGAAAGTTATGACATGCAGATAGCATTCTCTGATTGGTCGAGAGCGAAAATTCACTGAAATAAAACGAAGAAAACTTTTTCTCGTAGGCTTAACAAGGAGTGATGGACAATGTATTTTTATTAGGTGGAATCTCAAAATTATAGACATGAATACTTTTTTCTTGCTTAAAAAATAAATCTTAACTATTTATATATTCTAAAGTATTTAGAATATATGTTAAGTGCTATGTTGAAAAGCCCTTATTTATTATGGAAAATAATTAGATTTTAGAAGTTATCAAATCTCTACTTTATTAAGTTATTTCTATATGATCTATTCCCCAAAAATGTTAATTTTTTTAATAAAGAAGTTAGTTTTCTTGCTACGAAATCAGAGCATTTTGAAAACAAGCTGAGAATAAAGTTGTATTTTTATATTTATAAAGCTGAATCTGCGTATAAAAAATTCAGTGTACTTCAGCGTAGGTGCGCGTGAAAAAAAAAGACAAAATACTAGTAAAATAATGCAACAAAATATTAGTACAATCGCAACAAAGAATTCGTTATACATCAGCATGCATAAATTCAAAAGATACTGTTTATTTCCTAGTTTTAATTAATTGTGGTGATTTCTCATCGTTTTGATTTCTGTATTGTATTTATTATTCTTTTTGTTTCCATTTTACTTTTAATAGTTAGAGAATTAGAGATTTCAAATATTTTTCGATGTTTCTATGCGTTCGTATAAACCTTAAAGTTTTTCCTTTTCTTTCTTTTTTTTCTTTCCTTCTCTTCTTTTTTTTCTTTTTATAACTGAAATCTTGACTGATTATTGCTTCTTTTAATAGAAATGCAATCTAGTTTTTTTTTTAATACCAGTTTATTTCAAAGTTAAAAAAGCAACCGTATTAACTTTTCACAAACTGTTTATGTCTTATTGAATAGAAAAGTACCCTTTGTTATTTTGAGTTTCAACTGAAATTAAAAATCTGAGTGGCTAGATATTCTATGAAATAAACATGAAGATGTATCAAATTCTACTTTAAAGATCAATTTCAAGATTTTTTGCTTTATTATAAATTAATTTTCTAGCTAATTCTCCAAAAACTATTAGAAATTTTTATACCATGCCAAGATTTTTTTTTTT